AAGAGCTTTGTACCGTCATTTGTGTTGAATTTGAAGTAACACTGTCATTGTATAAATCACCAAGTCTTGAGCAACAATAATAAGCAATTTTACGTGAAAATATTTCATATTCTAATATTTCATTACTATATTGAAAAACTAAAACAAACATCAATTGATCATCGAATATTCAATATATATATAATTTCATCAGATAAGTTCTCCAATTATCTTACCAATAGGCATAACATAACGTAGACTCTGATCATCGGCATGTTTGATTCGATCAATAAATGTATCAACAACCCATTCAACAATATTATGACGATCTAAAAGGGCTTGATCAAACAGTACTCTTAGTAATCGATTGTAATAATCCCATTGTCTTCTTGTTTTATCTGCCGTATTTTGATACGTTGAAGTTGTTGACGTTTGTGTTGGCGATGCCGACGGTTGTGATAAATTTGAAGAGTGTAACATTTGCGGAGTAGATGGACCATATTGAGGCGTCAATGATCCGACTGTAGTTGAAACTGAATTTGGACCATTAATTTGATCTGAGTCTACATTAATTGTAGATGGTGTATTCGATTCAGACATTTGTGTTTGATAATGATTGTCTTTAATCAAACGACCAAAAACTTCTTTGAGTATGTCAATTATGGCTTTTGTCCATTCTGTACATGGATCCGTTGCTACATGACGTTTTTTTTGTTTTGAATCGTTATTTGTACTATAATAGAGTGCTAACATTTTAATATACCATCCAGCACGTAATAATGCTACATTATGTTCAAACAAATGGTGAAATACATCTTCTTTTTTCAAAAATGTTGGTACCTATAAAAACATAATGATAATAAATTCATACATTGATAATAAGTCGCTAACTAACCGATTTTACTAATTTATTTACAGGTTCTGTGGATGCTAATGCTGACATCCATGTTTCAAAACGTCTTAGTGAACGTACAGCCTAAAATCAATTCATAGATGAAAATGAGAATATAAGAACAAGATATTTTCTAACGTACTGGCCAAAAGTTATCTTTTGTATTTATTGAAAATTTTCTTCTTGAATCATTTATTGTATTACTTTCATCCTTCTTTGTTAAAATATGTCGAAATAAATTTAATATATCATCTTCAGATTGTTTAAAATCTTTAAATCCATCGTGCTATTAAACCAATAAACTATGACAGATGAATAAATAATTTTAAAAAAAGATCTTACTTCTAATGCCAGATCAATGTGTTTGAATGTAAATCCATTCTTAACTGTTTCAGTACTAAGTTCATCCTTAGAAGAAGAAGAAATGAAACGTGTTTCATTTAGTGCTCTAAAATATCATGCAAAAATGTAATATTTTCTTACTTCTTTTTGCTTCGGTTCTTGTACATAGACATCCGGTAAATATGGTCTATTTTTTCGCACAGGTTGTGCCATTTACTAGAAAAAATAATAATATTATACAGTACTTTAGACTCCGTTTGTAATAAGAAAGTCTTAAATGCTTACTGAGGGCTGTACACAACAAAAATAATATTAAAATATATTAATTACATTTAATAATATTATAAAAGGCGGTTATTTAATCTAGAAATACCATACGCAATATTAACTATAAGATAAAACAACAAAATCTTGAGTTTTAATCAAATTCAAAAATAATGAAATGAAATACATTGTAAACTACTAAATCACACATATCCTACTTTTCATTTTCACAAGAGCAACACTTTCACCATTGGATAATCAATATAAAACTTTAAAAGAATCGGATGAGTACTATCAACAATGTTTTTAGTTCATTTTTCTAATGCAACACTTTATCGATTTAAACTCATTTTGAAGAAAAATAGTTTATCACATAAAATATTTTAAATTATTAAATAGTGACTATCTCAATAATTTTTTTCAATATAAATTATAAATATGATTAAAAATGTTGCAAATAGAGACACCTTAACACTATTTTAGGTGTTTGTTCTTTTAATCGTATTTATAGAGGAAACAAAATGAGAAAAACAATGTATACAAGGTTAAGTAAATAAAGAATAACACAAAAATACAAGACACAAGCTAATAATTTCGTTCTAATTCTTCTTTTGTTTTTCCTAATTTTTTTGGTAATTTTTTAACACTATTATCTTCATCTAATTTTTTTGTTTTATAAAAATGTGGTGCAACTTCTAATAGCCATTGATTTTCAATTTCAATCACTTGTCTCATATATTCTTTTGTTGTTAAAACTAATTCAAAATAGATAACGTAACGGGGTATCTGTTCAAATAGACAACTATTTGGATGAATTAACACACTTTGTTGATGTCTTACAGTTTTGTAAACTAAAATGAGAAAAAAAGAGAAAAATATTATTTACCTAATGTGAGATAAAAAAATTTTATATCTTTAACGGGCAATTTCAATTAGAACATCGACATTTGCCAATAACAAGAAACTGAAAACATACGTCTTTTTGTATGAAAATCTCTTCTTTCTCGTTTTCTTCAATGTAAGTATTCAAATATTTTCGTTCCTCAACTTTATACAGTGGCTTATCAGAGACCGAAACGGGTCGGGTCGGCAACGGATCAAATAAAAAAATATTTCGATTCACCGAAAAAAATTTTCAATTTTTCATGCATTTTTCTGGGAAAAATGTCAAGTTACACCTGTTCTATTGAGTGCGAAAAAAATGTTTTCGGGATTCATTCGGATTAAGGAAAAAAATTTCGGGTCGGGTGAGGGTTAAATGAGTTTGACCTTATTCGGTCTCTGTGGCTCACAAAATTGTTTTAGTTTGATGAAAAAAAGTGTTTCATTTTATTCAGAAACGTTTGCTCTATATGGTGAAGTTGTTTAGTCAAATTAGGAAACTTAGTTTTCTAAAGTTTCAATTTTTCAGGGATTCAAGTTACAAGCAAAATTGATTAGAAAAACTCTTATGTAGTGTACTCACGTCCATTTTTACTAAATTTAGCTGTATGATAAAAAAATCCACTTGTGATAGCTTTTCGAATGCCGATTGATTCAGTTGGATTTGATTCAATTTCAATTTCTACACGCTCCATTAAACCTTCTAATTGATCACGAATTTGTCTTGCACGATTCATCGATCGAAATTGTATAAAATTCTCATAACACCATTGTGTCGAATAATTAATATCTTTCCATTGATTATAAACATTTAACAATGTTAAATGATCACCACCGGGTACGAAAAAACCTTGACGTGCTGTATCAGCCAATAAAATTTTATCTTTTGGACGAAAAAAAATAGAATTATTCACTGATAACATTGCGACAATTGTTAAAATTTCAGCTGAACATTTGTACGTTTCACTGGCCAATATTGTTTTAGATAACATTGGATCGAGTGGAAATTCAGCCATACGACGACCTAATTTTGTTAATTCAGCTTTATGGTTTAATGCACCCAAGGCATACAATTGTTCAAATGCTAAAAAGAGAGAAAAAAATAAAAATAGATTAGAAGTACAAGCAGAGCGTATTCATTTTGTTTAAATTATCTCATCTATATATTGAACTATTTCAACCCATGTGTATTGATAAATCTGAACTAAAGTAACATTATGAAATAATGTTTATTGATTTCTTTTCAAAATGAAAATACTTCAATGCCGCATAGAGATTTACATCTATATGACATATTAGTACAATTTAATAAGTAGAACGGTCTAACTATATTTTTCAGCGTAAAATATTTTTCTACTTAAAAAAAGAAAGTTTGATTAATAATTTTCAATTAATTTGCTCGAATTTTCATTTTTGTTCACATCAATAACTTCTTCATAGATGAAGCACTAAACGGGTAAAAGAAGAAAAAATACAACAAATTTCTCAAAATCAACTTAATGTAACATATTGTTCACAATTAAAGAAACTTTTTTCTCTAAAAATGGCAATATTTCCACTTAATTGTTATTTAATACATAATAAAAAAGTCAAATTTACTTTTCAGATCGAATAAATGATTAATTTAATGAGTTCCCTGCAATGTCCGACTACTATTTATTCACAAAGGAAGAAAGTAATGAATCATTGGAACAACTTTGAAATATGAATAATTTCCATAGAACTAAATAGAAAAGAATACTGACGTAGTGTACTAGTGTTTACTAACACAATGATAAAGTTGGATAGAAGTGTTTTCGTACAATGATCTAAAAATTGGCTTATGAACGAATATTTGCATCAGAAGATGCAACAAATTCATTGATTCAGATACTGTCTTAAATAAAGTCGAATGATAATTCTTCGATATTGGATTTAGATTAGTATAATACAAGAAGAGGAAGAATGATAGGTTTTCTTTTACGATACCTTTTTTGTTACTATTTTAATTATTTAAAATTAATTCATTATTCAATTTTTTTTAGATGAATTGTGTGAAATAAACACAGTATAAAAATCTTATTCTTACCTAATTTAAGTGTCTCGAACGGTGGAGCATCCATGTAATCAAAATGGACAAGGTCATGAATACCAAGACTTTTCAATAATAGCACAACATTGCCCAAATTTGTTCGTTGAATTTCTGGTATTGTATTATCGTCAAGTTCATGTTGGTAGGCCCAAGCTAGAAAAATATAAAGATCAAAATAAATTTATTTATTAAAAGTCTTTTAAATTATACTTGTATATAGACGAAAACATTTTCCAGGTGCCACACGACCTGCTCTACCAGCACGTTGATCTGCTGACGCTTTTGAAATAGGTGTGATTGTTAATTGTTCCATTCCACTACGAGCATTATAACTTTTTTGCTTGCAAAATCCAGGATCAATAACATAATGAATTCCGTCAATAGTTAATGATGTTTCAGCAATATTTGTTGCCAAAATAACTTTTCTTGCACCAAACGGTGCTGGTTCAAAGATTTTTATCTAAAATAACAGAAAAATTAGATAAAATTTCATACTGAGTAAAGGCGTTGAATAAGATAAACTTACCTGCATCTCAGATGGTAAAGTTGAATAAATTGGTAATATAATTAATTCTCTTATTTTTGATCCTAATCGTCTTGTTCGTTCTAATAACATTTCATTGGCTGTTTCTATTTCTTCCTGTCCGGTCAAAAATACCAAAATGTCACCAGATGGTTGTGTGACATGTATCTGCAATACGGTGACAACAGCTGCATCAATATAATCTGGTTCTGGTGCTTTTGTATAAAAAATATCAACGGGATAACGTCGACCTGGTATTCTAAATATTGGTGCATCATCAAAAAATTGAGAAAATTTATCGGCATCCAATGTTGCTGACGATATTAACAATTTTAATTTTGGACGAAATCGAGCAATATCTTTTACTAATCCAAACAACACATCGGTATGCAATGTACGTTCATGTGCTTCATCAATTATTAACACGCTATAAGATGCCAAATCAGGTTCACTTAAAAACTCTCGTAACAACATTCCATCTGTCATATATTTAATTATTGTTCTATCCGATGTACAATCTTCAAAACGAATTGTATAACCGACTTCTCGACCTAATTTAACGTTCATTTCTTCAGCAACACGTGCAGCCACGGACATGGCAGCTACTCGACGAGGTTGTGTACACGCGATCATCATTTTTTTGTCTTCTTTTTTCTTCTTTTCCCCATCTTCATTATTATCATTACTATCTTCTTCGTCATCCAAATTATCATCTTCACCAACACAATAACCATCTTCAAACAAATATTGTGGAATTTGTGTTGTTTTTCCACTACCTGGAAATATAGAAAATAAAAAAATATTAAATAAAATTTAACATAGAATTGTTTCTAATTCCAAATATATTACGAACGATTATTCACAAATTATTTGAAAAGAAAATGACTTCGCTTATTTTTTGAATAATATTTGACGAAAAGTACTGGCAGCATGCCGTCTTCAATATTGTACAATAGATATCTGATGAAATTGAGTAGTGGAGAAAAAGATGATTAAAAGCTGAATTTTCAATTAGTGTACATGACGACTATTACTCATAAAGTTCAGGTTTCTAGAGATCTCAATATCCTTTTTTTACATCATAATTGGTGAACCTAGTGTCCGCTACAAATCTATGTAAGTCGCACCTTTCGCTCGAAGGATACACAACTTTGACTCGAATTCTTGATTTTGCGATGTTCATACGAGATAATCTAAAAAACACATTGGAAACATAGATAGTTTACTAAATATACCGATTTCACGTGGCAATGTTTGACATGAAGATATCGAAAAACTTAATGAGCCTGTGTTTTTTCAAAAACATAACTCAAAATCGATCTAAATGAGCTGAAAATTTTAGGATAAAAGTAAAAGAATACCTGAATATCGCAAATTTTTGTGCTGTTTTTTCTTCTTAAAATGAATCACTTCGTGTGATTAACGTTCTACAGTCTCGTAGTATATTTAGGACTTTCATAAACAGATAAGCTGTGCATTATGCAGTAAAACTAAAATTGGTTAAGAGCTTCAATCATAGTAAATCTTTCTCAATATCAGAACTCATTTTTACTACCGATATATTTATTGTTGCATACCAGTTTCTCCTTCAATAATTAATACTTGATGATCACGTATTGCTTTCATTAATTCATCTCGAAGTTTATAAATGGGTAATGTTTTTCTAACATCTTGTAATGATCGATATTTTTTTTTATGTTCATCTTCATAATCGGAATGTTTTTCTTTTTGTTTGAGTATTTCATTGATACCCGGTTTTGTTAATGCTTTAACAAATTGTATTTCTTCGTCCAACACATAATCATAGGTTTTTCTTGAATCTTTTTCTTTTTTATCTTTTGAACCAAAAGATGGTAAACCCGCTCGAATTAATTCATCTTCCCATTTACGTTGTTCAAAATTTAGATTTGCTGATCCGCCAGCATTTTTTGACGAATCTGGATGACGATTATCTTCTGAGTATCGATCATTTTTATGAACTTCTTCACTTTTATCACCAGGCATATGGTATCGTTCGATATTTTCTAATTCTTGTGCCTTTTCATGTTCTCTAGCCAATTTGAGAGTATATTCTTTAAATTTAATATTATCTAATTCACGTTTTGTTAATTTCATACCCTCAAATAGATATTTTTCATCGGCTAATTCTGCTTCCAATTCATTTACTTTTTTGTCTTTACGTTCAGCTAAGTAAACATAACGAGATTTCTTACGTAAAGCGTCTGTACTTAATTGTTTTCGTCTATTAGCCTCGTCTTCGATTTTAACATTTTCATACTTAATTTTTTTCCGTGTTCGTTCATCATCTCGTTCTCGTATACGTTTCGAAAATTCATCACGTTCTTTAAGATCACCTTTGATCTTTTCTTCATCTATCTCATCTCCGTCGAAATCATTCATGTTGACTGTTTCTAGTGGTGGTGACAGAGAACGTTCATCTGGATCAATTTCAGACTGAGATGTTTTTTTGAGCGTAGACATTTTCAAAAAAATCTAGAAAAGAAAAGAAAAGTCAAAAATCTAATAATTTGAGGTTCATATTAGATGAACGTTCTTCTAGGTAAAATTAGCAGAAAGATTAAAAGATTAGGAACATGCATAAGTTTGTATTTGTTGAATGAATTTTAATAGTTACTTCGTCGCCTAAAATATTTTTGTCTTCTACCTAGTTACTCACATCTGTAATCTGTTATAAAAAATTCATTCGTCAAATTATGAGGCGAAAAGTTTTTGAACAAGACGTTTAACAATACTTGATATTCAGTACATCCACCAGCGTTTCTGATGAGAGTTTTTAGGAAATCCTATTTTCACTTTTCCCACTTTATGTTTCAGAGTAGCAGACATGTAGTTTTCTCCTTCCCGTTCGAAGGAACAGGTTTTTCACGTAACGTTTAACTTGGCGATAATCGCTAAGCGGTATGCTATGTCTAATGTCTGGACTAGCAAAAATAGGTCCCTAGATTATTCTTGTGAAAAAAGCCGTTTGTCGGTCGGAATGGGAAATCTGATTTGTATATAAATTAGGTAACATTAGATCAATAGGATTTTAGTAACGTTATTATAGAACAACAGAAAAAAATGTGACAATGAATTCTTGGCTCTTAACCGTGCACTGGACCATATATTACAGGTTGAAACTTTTGATGACTCCCATTAGACTTAGTTAGTTAGTTGATCTGTTAGTGGATACCAGCGTTTCTAATGATTGATGGGACAAACAAGAGAAAAATGGGATTCCACTTTGAAAAACGAATTTCCCGCCTCTTGTGTACTCTGATGTACAAAAATTTCACTTTGCTTTTAAGAATGTTCATTAACAATTAATATTTCTTCGAATGTAAATGATGACTCATATTCTTAAGAAACAAAACATGGGTAAGCGGAAATTATTATTTCGTAAAAAAACATGATATTGGCTAATTTGTCTATTCCGACACCAATAAAAAAATCGATGCTGACCTTTTTTAAGATCATAGGTGACAATTCAGGCTCAAAAAGAAGATAAGCCCCGCCTCAGCAGAGAGCATTTAGTTTTGTTTAGTATAGAAGATGTACTTCTATGAAAAAGGATACTGTTTGCTACAGACTACAGAATACACAGACCATTTGACAGCGACACCCATCGAATTAGTAATCGAAGTGATTACTTTGTTTATTTGGTTAAATTCATTGATTTTAGTCAATATAACAAGAAGTCGCGAACAATCCTCTTGGCTCTTACCGGAAAGACTTGAGTTTTTAAGGATACGAATGGAAATTATATCAATATAGCTTTTTTAGGAAAATAGCTCTTTTGGGTATGAAAAACTTTGAACTAGCTACAAGTAGAGTACCCCGTCTATTATGAGAGAAATTGATTTAGACTTAACTTGAGCAAATGAGCAAAACATTGTGATTTCCGAAGAATCTTTTGTGAAAAAAAAGAAAAAAACTGAACGATCTTCACTGTTCACCAAAATTGCGAATGTATGTATATAAAAAATCAAAAAATGTGCAAGAATGTGCGGAGATAATAGTTTTATTCGCTTCACATGATTGTTTCTCATATTCTTCTTGTTCGATCGGATAAAAAATATCCATATTGATTTTTAAATGTTTTTATGTAATCATGAAAACTTTCTCTAAACTTTTAAGTGGAAACTGACCAATTTAATCATAATCATGAGCTAAAAAATCTAATTTAATTGTCAAGTGGGTACGGCAACCAATTTCGAAAATTGATCAGTGAGATAGATATATTTATTAACATAGATTAGGTATACACTTTTCCTCTTATCCACATAGTAATCCTCTACATCGTCTTTCCATATTTTTTCTTTCCATTCATACATTGCGTTACTTCAAATATATGTCGTTACTAATCTACTTTTTTGTCTTAAAATTCAATCATCATCATCATCATTCAAAAAACTCTTCTTATCCACTTCTAGTGATCATCTTGAAAAAATTTGTTTCCATCTCTATTTCTCTTTTTCTATCTTTTTTTTCTTCTTCTCCTTGTCTTCTTTTTTTTTCCATCACTTTTAAATAGTCGTTTCGGTCGTTTTAGAATGATGATTTTATATCTATAACATGTTTCTATTCATTCATCCATAGTGAAAGATACTACCAATAGAATGTATTTTTTGTTTTACATTATATTAGATATATTCGCGTTTTTCTATTGTATTAGAACAAGTAGGCATTTCCTTTAAATAGGAGAAAAAAGTGATCATCTATATGGCATATGAGCAATTTTGTTAAGCTCAATAGAATCTAAAATCTCTTCCTCTTTTTTTTTATCTACACAGATGGGAAATTGATCATTCATCGTCATTAGAGGTATGCTCAAGTTCATAATTACAAATACGGATTATTTATTAACAGATTTATCACAAAACGGAAGAGATATTCATTTAACTCACTCTTTTATGAAAAAAATTTTTTTTGGTTTTTTATTTTTCAGTAAAAAAAAATTTTGTTAAAATTTTAATTTTTCAATTTAAATTATTATTCATTTTTCACATTGTATAGAAACATTGAAAATAATTTATTCAGATCATTTTTGGGAATATTCAATTCGAGTTACTCTCGTTTTGTTAAATGATAAAAGTCGCACAATAACAAAAGGGAAATACAATTCAATAGAATTGTAAACGTACCATGTACGAGAAATTCTTCGCTGACAGTTAACAAAGAAAATCGCGCACTATGGGAGTAAGAAAAATTGTAAAAAATTAGATAGTCAAATAATTATTATTATCGTTTAGGTTATTTCTTTTTTAAGAAAAATAAAATATAAAAAAATAAATGCGGATGATGTGAAAGAGCATTGAGACAATATTGCATGATTACTAAAATTATGTTGCATGCATGTATATATTGTTCAATATAAAATTGTGTATTTTCCTAACGATCTCAATAAAAAAAAAAAGAATAAATAAGATTAACAATAGTTAACAGTTAACAATAACATGAAAATTTAACTAAATGTCTCTTCTATTATCTATTAATTTTTCTAAAAATAAGTCATCTCGTCTTCTTTTTTTTTTGTAGTTATTTGAAATCCGTTTTTTTTTTATTTTTTATTTTTTGTTTGTTTCTTCAGGCATTAAAGATGGAACAATTTCCTGAAAGTTCTGATGACAGTATTATATCTCAAATAGCGACACCCTATCGACGAAATAGTTATCAAATGGCTATACATGCACCACAACATCGAAACATTACTCGAATATCAAATTATCGAAATCATATTTCATCTTTATCAAAAAAGTTAAATGAAACAACATCTCATTCACTTTATTTTATTGATTCTGAAATGTTTATGCCAAATGGATCAATTGAACAATTACCATCACGTGGAATTTTAAAACCAAGTTATAGTGAACCAATTGATACTTTTTCCTATAATGATTTACTTTTAGAAAATACAAGTGAATTTTTAGATTCACCATTACATGTTCTACGTTCATCAAATCGTTGTTTATCGACTCATGATAATGATAATGAGAATGAGAAAGAGAAAGAAAATGAAAATGAAAATGAGAATAAGAGTTCTTCTATTAATGATGTAAATTTAATTAAATCCACTAAAACAAAATCAACTTATTATCGTCTAGTTATAATGCGTTCAATTGCATCAACATTAGCATTATCTGGTCTTATGTGTACAGAAATATTACAAACAACAATTTATTCTTCAAAAACGGGTGTCTATTCATTAGTATCATTTCATTTATCAATTGTAATTAGTTCTATATTAATTTCATATCATATTCATTATATTAAACTTAAATCATTAACATTTACAATATCAAAAACAATTTATTATGATCGATGTTCACAAATATCAATTATTTTATGTACATGTTTTACTGGTGTATGGATTATAATTAATTATCAAACAAATTTTAATTTACTTTTAATTGGTGCTATTATTAGTGGATTTAGTGTAAGTTTAATGAAAATACAAACATATGAAAATCTTTTACAATGGTGTGCTTCAATGACTATTGATGAATGTCAAAAAATAATTCGACCAAATTCTAGTACAACAGATATTTATAATAATTGGTTAAAAATTCGTACATCAACATTAATGACATTTGTATTTATTTATCATATTCTTTGTCAATTAGCTCTAATTATTGGTTGTATTATGTTATTTGTTGTTATTACATTTCAAGAATGGAGAAAACATTATATTTTAGTAGCATATTATCCATGTCTAATCATAAAATGTATCACCACTGGTGAGACTTTAACTTCAACATTGAATATGACCATTTATAAAAATGATAAACAACAAGGTAAAGTTAAAATTAGATACAAAATATCTTTTAATGGGTGCGACATAAATAATGATACTGCCAGTCTTTCGTCAATATTTTGGTAAATTTTCATTGTAGAAACTTGAGCATAGTCTCAAAAGATTTTCTATTTAATTCTCTACAAAACCCTAAGAAAAGTCCACGTACAATAAATAACTGTGAATTCATAAGCTGTCAACACTGCTATGTCCCAAATGGGAGTACTTTCCAACCCATATTACATTTTGTTTTTATTTTTTCGTCGCACTTTCGTCGCCTATAGAAAGACTGAATATGCCCATTTTGTAGCTCTTGCAATGGTCTATCAGTTGAGAAACAACTGATAAGTTTTTCATTTCAAACCTTTGTGATCAAGACATTTTCCGTTTTATTTCATATTCGGTTTTCTACGTTCTGCTAGTGGGGCTCATTGTACATCTAGGACAAAGTGTAACGTTTTCTTACCAATTTTATTTTGCAAAGGTGTAGAAAAATGTTTTCTCTATCATCTCTAACCAACCCAATTGGCGTACAAGTCTTCTTTTGGCACCCATAGTGCGCGAGAGGAAAATGCTTTCTGGTTCCAACTCGTTTTTCAAGGAAATCTGCCAGAAGAAGCTCACTGTGTTGCCTGAGGGAGTTGTTTTGAGTGCTGTGAGAAAGAGTACGTCCGAAAACATGTAAAAATTCCACATTAGAGTGCGTTTGCGTCTGATTAGACAGAATCAGAGACATAATTACTTTTACGTCTTGTAAGGAAGGTCATTATAATCTCAACTTAATTTTGATTTTCTCTTCCTTCTTTTATTTAACGTCAAATAATCTTTTGTTAAATAAGAGAAGAAAGAGAAAATCCAAATTAAATTGAGAGACATAATTAATTTTCTGAAAATGTGCGTTGGAAAGTGCTCCCATTTGAGGCATTGCAGTATTAACAGCCTCTGAATTTACGGTTACGTATTGTGTGCTCGTTTCTTATGGTTTTGTAGAGAATTGAATAAAGAATTGTTTGAGACTACGCTCAAGTCTCTACGATGAAAACTCACCGAGATATTGACGAAATACTGACGGTATCGTTATTTATGCCGCACCCGTTAGATTAATTATCTAAATAGAAGTTTGTTAACTTAAATCCCTCCTCGTAATAGAAGCCGCCGGGCTTCTAAACTGTCCAAGCGTTCAAACTTTTTAGGGGGGCTTGTATTATGAGGACGGGGCTACTATTACGACTTTCGTGCAAAAATTTCCAGAAAAAAAAGGAAATTTTGAATTTCGATGTTCTTGTCTTTCTATTCACGGTAATCTCAATTAATCTGAAAAAAATCTTTTTCGAGATTAAAAATGTAAATTTTATTCGTGTCCTCTTTTTTTACACACGATATCACACAAGAACAATTCAAATTCAAATTATTTTCCGGATGTAATAGAACATAGTACACCTTCCACATCGACTCCTCTAGAGGGGACTTCTAATACGAGGAGAGCTTCTATTACGGAGGGGGAATATTAATGATACAGATATGTTCTAAATGTTTGTTCTATTTTGTTTTGTATTTTTTTAGAATGGCAGTTGGAACCTGAGAGATACATATTTTTTTTATCTTTATTAATATTTACCTTATTAAGTTTACTTCCACAAGCAATTGTTGAATGGTCATCATTACAAACAGCCTTTAAAAATGAAAATCGTATAGAAAATAATCAGAATCTTCAATATTATAGACGTGCACATATTTTAGTGTATATCCTTCTATTTTATATTGGATTACAAGAAGCTTATGTGTACGGAAGTATGACAAAGGTATGTAAAAAAATATGAAAATAAATTTTTAGAAAAAAAAAACATATACTCATCTGTCAACATTTTATATCTAATAAGGTCTATAATCATTTTTCTATTGTACAATATTAATAAATATTCTGTTTTAGTTTTCCGTTTCTTGTTTATATGGTATAAAACATTTAATTGAAACATTAATTTTATATGGAATTAGTCTAACTATTTCAAGTATTTTATTTGCTGTTCTATTGAAACGTCTCGGAAGAACGGTAATATATCTCTATATATAAAAAGATAAATATTCTAAGAATGATTGACGAGTGTTATTTATCTTTTATTCTAGATCGTTATTCTATTAGTAACATTGTTACATAGTGTGATATTCGTCCTATTATATTTTTGGCGTGAAGAACAAGAAAATTTTTTATTTATATCTCCTGTTCTAGTTCAATATATATTATTTTTTTGTTATGGAATTGTGAATGGTATTTGGTCAATGATTGCATTTGACTATTTATGTAATCCTTATGAAAATCACTCAGCTTCAACTCTTGGCCAAAGTATAGCTGTTAATTCATGTGGACGAATAGTAATGTATCTATGTCAGTTATTTATTTGTCAACGATGGATATTATATCTAAATATTTTAATTTTATTCGTTACTTCAATTTTGTCTTTTTTATGTAATTATTGTAAACGTAATTCAAAATAATTTTTTGTTTTTCGAATTGCTCAGTATGTATGTATTCAATAAACAAATGTTCATTAATTTTTGATTAATTTTTATATCTTATGTATTGATGTATTGATTGCAAGATTTTTATATCTTGCACGTCTTGTATAACGAAGGATAAATTAGAATATACTGAATGAATGAATGAATGTAAAAAAAAGAAAAGATTATTTATAATGAAATTAACTTCTTCTTCATCATGGTAGAAAACAAAATATTCTTTAATTTTGCGAACTTTTTCAAATGAATACGATACATTTTATCAATTTTATCAAGGCTTTTCTCATATGATGAATTAGTTCTATAAAATAATTGTTCTTTTTACTATATAACCAACATTTAATAATAATAAAAAAAAAAACTTGCAATGTTGCTGAAAAGTAAAAAAAGAGCGAAAAGAATTAATTATACCCAAATACGTAGAGAGAGAAAAAGAGTTCAAGGGAGGGAAAAGATTGAAATGTCGTAAAGAAACGATATGGAATATTTCTAGATAAAACAAAAATGTGTGCTGTAGTTATTTTTAAAGATAAACAAAAAAATAAACAAATTTGAATACTGATGTAATAACAACAACAAATAAGGCAATAAAATTCAAAAGTAAATGGGCTCATCTATCTGCTTTTTGTTCATAAAATACATATAAGACGAAAGAGAGGAAAAAACCATGTTGGAATGTTTTATTTGTATCTACACAGATGATAAAAAGATAAAGAAAAGAAGAAAAGAAACGGAAATGATAAAGTTTTCAACTTGTGCAATTCCAAGACGAAAGAAAGTAAGGAAAAAAAAATTATAGTTGTTAATTATTATATTTTTTCTTTTTAAAGACAATTTAAGTCTTGTATTCCATACAAATAAAACTTTTTGAAACCTTTAAGAGGAGATAGATGAACATTCTATTCTATTTCGGACAAATTTGTATTCAATAACATTTTTGATTCCTGAGGAAGAACATATACACACCTCTTCAATTTCACATCCGACTTTCTTTGGAACGACAAAAAAAAAAAGAATTATATAAAAGAAATAAGCAAACAAGCAATTTCATGTATAAAAAAAACCAAACAAAGATACGTATGAAAAAGAAAAAGAATTACACGAATTTTTAAACTATAGAGAAGTGAAGCAGTAAAGTGAAAAGAGAAAAAGAGAGATTTTAAACGATTTTGCTTCGACTATACACACACGCACACACACACACACACAGATATATATATATAGATAGATTAATAAGATCACTGTGACACTGCAGAAATAGAACACGCACACAGGATGCGTGTACACTAATATTAATGATGACCGCTGTGAAAACTGTTATTATCAACCATTCCACCTGCACTACTTCGTCCACCATTTAATGTTTCTGATACACTGGCATTTGTTGCTTCTGATTGTAAATCATCATCAGACATTTCACTATAATATTTTGTGATGTGTGTTTTAACATACGATGTTGACGAATTATATGCTGCTGAAGGACTAAAATAATAAAAAAAAAAAAGTGGATATCTGTTAGAATACATTATAAACAGAGACTTTTGATTAATAATGAATATACATGCAAGAAAAGCAAATAGAATTTGCTTAAAAAGCGCGCATCATCGAAATGAGATAATATTTAAATGAGACCGAGTGAGACCATCTAACTTCAAATAGGTTTATAGAAAACCAAAAATAATCGTGAAAACGGTTGCAGTTAAATCTGGAACACACATTCATATCGACTACATACTGGTCGCTTCGCTTATTCCTTTTCAAAACTGAATAAACATGAAACCGTTTACATTAACGCAATTTCATGTAAAACAGCCAAGTTTATGACCTATATCAAGTTTAAAATTTCATCTAACATTGCATGTATTGATTAAATAAGAGAAACAAAAAAGAAAAAAAGATGTTTAATACTCATAAGTTGGTAAAAGGCAAAACTGTAAACATGCACTCTCTATTATTTTTTAAATCATGCGCTTTATAGTTTATTTTTAAAGTAAATCGTGCATTTTTACATCATACCTGTCTGGTATCGCATTAAATACACTGCTATATAAAGAAATACAACGGGATATTTGATATCGTTACAATATAAAAATATTCTTTGAAAAAGTGCACATTGTGAGAGGAGAAAACTCCCATAAATTACAGTAAGCAGGTCTTTAAATAATTTATAAATATCAGTTTACACGACAAGATAAAAGAAGAAAGTGCTACTTCGTTGATGGTGCAACAAAAGAGCTAAGCATCAGTAAATGACCATACTACCTCTGAATCTCCTCCATCATTATATGTCATACGGCGAGCACCACTGAACAAGTCGGATATTGTTGATTCCTTCCTGCACAAAGCACCCAAGATATTAGAATATTTTTTTTGTTTGTTATTAAAGCAATTTTTCATATACACACAATATACAAAAATAATATCTTACCGTGTTTTTGTTTGAGAACTTTGAACAGTAACTATTTCATCAAGCTCATCTTTCTCACGTTGTGCTTTACGTAAACGTCCTTTCAATTGACTAACTTCTTCTTCTAAATCGTCCAGTGCACGTTTCATGGCGCGAACACGTGCATTCGCTTTTTCAGCCTAAAATCAAAGAGAATATAGTCAGTCGTCTTTCTCTCAAAACCTAACTACAATTTTACTTGTTCTTTATATGTATCTGCTTGTTTTTTGGATTCTTCTGCTGTAGAAACCGCTTCACGAAGACGTTTTTCAATCGATCTCACACTTCGAGTAACTTTTTGTTTTTCTCTACATGTAAACGAAAAACAAACACCATTTTATTTTTTATAAATTATTTTAAAGATGAATAAAATTGTACCTGACTTCAACATCCAGTTGTTCTTCCAATGCATGTACTTTAGCTTCAAGTGCACCCAATAAAGCTTTTGATTTTCCTTTACCAAATTCTTCAAATTCTTCCAATTTTTCACGTAATTCACGATTTTGACGTTCAAGATTAGCACGAACAGCCTAAAAAATATTAAAAATGTAAGATTTTTCATAAATTTAAATAAAAAAAATCGATCATCCATTTTTTCGTACTTCCGCTTTTTGATTATTTGACTTTTCTGCAGCGAAATCGAGCATCAATTGTTCAACATGTAATGCCGATTTTTTATGTTTATCAAGATTCAACTCAGAATTTGTTTGTTCGTCTTCAAGTTCTTCTTCCAATTGTGCAATACGGGATTCTAATCGACGTTTTTCATCAATAAATGCATCTCTGTAACAGTAAAAGTAACTATCAATATGTATATTCAACAATAAACATAGAAAAACAAACATACTTTCCACTTAATAACAACATTTCTTGTTGTAATTCATCTCGTTCTGTTTGTGCTTGTCGTCGTTGACGATCAATTAAATCTTTTTCATCCAACGCTTGTTGTAATAAATGTTCTAATGTTTTTATTTTATTTTGCCACTCTTTAGCATTAGCAATAGCTTCACTTCTATAAACTTTAATTTCTTCAACTTCACGTGTTACTTCACGAACTTGCGTCTAGTGAAGAAAAATTTACATAGAACTCTTATATAAAATTTTCATTCAATCGAATCACTTACTTGTAAACGTCGTGTATTTCTCAATGCATCTTCTTTTTGTCTATTTGCTTCTTCAAATTGTTGTCTCATATCTTGTATATCCATTTCAAATTTTTTACGTTGATTTAATACTTGTGTTTTCACTTTTCTCTCTTCTTCTAATTCTAATTCATTATCTCTTAATTGTTTTTGTAATAATCTCATACGATCTTCGATTTGTTCATTAATATCTTGAACATTTTTATCTATTTGTTGTTTTAATGCACCCATATTTACTTCACCTCTTAATCGTGCATCTTCAGCAGCCTGTAATTCATCTTCTAATTCAAGTATTTGTTGTTTTTGTTCGTCAACCGTTGTTTCTAATGTACGTTTAATACGTTCTAATTCATGAGTATATTTACCAATATCATCTTTGCGTGATAACATGTCATCCAATTCAACTCGCAATTGTCTAAAACATACCAGATTAATTGTCACATTAATAGACACATGAATAGACAAAAAAAAATGGATTCTCTACTATTTGATCTTATCTACACAACTAAGTGATATCAATAACCTTCCCATCACCTTAAATCATTAATTTAATTCTTTCAAATTGATTTATACTATTCAAGAATATAAAAATTTTTTAACACTTTTTCCCCACAAGACTTACTTAAAGCGTTTCTCTAAATCCTCATAGGCCGCGCTTTTTTCTTCTAAATCTCTTAATAAATTGAGACGTTGAGTTTCTTTTTCTCTTATTTCACGATCATTTGAATCACGTTCTTGTCTTAATTTTTCTTGTATAATTTTCTCATCTTGTATACGTTTATCAAATGTACGTTGTTGTTTTTCAACATTTTGAACAATTGTTCGATAACGTTCAAGTTCAACAGTAACATCGGTAATATCATTCGAAAATTTTTGATTTGATTTAGTTAATTTTATATTGACATTTTGCATATCTTCTACTTGTTTTAATAAACCCTCTTTTTCACGTTGTAATTGACGTCTTAGTTCTTCCATTTGTTCAACATTTACTTGTCCAACTTGACGACGTAATTCATTTACTTGTTGACTCATTTGAATTAATTTTTGTTCAACTTTATTTTTTTCTTCTTCTTTCTCTTCTAATTGATCTTTCAAATCGTTCAGAACATCGTCTTGTTGACGTAATTTACTCAATGCATTCATTTTTTGTCGATTTTCTTCTTGTAAATTTTCTTGTAATTCTTGAATATCTTGTCTCATCATACTAATTGAACGTTCATTTGCTTGTGCACGTTGTTCACTTTCAATATAATTGGTATTCAATTGTTCTAAATCCATTTGATAACGTTGTAATTTTTCTTGTGATTCAATTCGAATACGATCCGTTTCACTATATTTATGTTGTAATTCATTCAGATACGTTTCTAATTGACGACGTTTACGTTCAATAT